TAATAATAATAATAATAATAATAATAATAATAATAATAATAATAATAATGTCCCCCCTCACTCTTCCCTTCTCAAGGCTGAACATGCCCAGTTCTCTCATTCTCTTTGAAAGCACAGGGCAGTGCTTCCAAACCCTGGATCATGTTTGTTACCCTCCTCTGGACCCTTTCTAATTTTTCTGTATCTTTCTTCAATCTTGGTGCCCTGAAGTGGACACAGGATTCCAGATTAATACACAGGATTCCAGATTAATACTTGTAATTTGTGAACAAGCAGAAAAGCATTGGTCCCAATAGAGGTTCTGTGGAACCTCACATTTTACAGCCTTCCACTAGAGAATTTACCATTTAATTCCATTTATTCTCTGCTTTCTGCACTTAAACCAGTTTTGAGCTTTAAAAAGGTGTTTCTAATGTCATGACTGCTAAACTTCCTCCTTGGGAAGGGATTTTGTGGCAGGCCTTTGGCAAAGTACTCATCTGCCATTTAAGCCAATGACAAGCCTGGACTCTCCATGTTTGAAACTTACTGTCTTGGATGCCAAAGAGGAATATTCCAGAAGTCTGCCGAGATGAAGCTGAAGAGTTCTGCAGCTGGTTGATGGAGCCGTTTCCAGGGCCACTGTGGAACAACGCCGCTGCCGCTTGCTGCTGCTGCTGCTGCTGCTGCTGCTGCTGTGCTTGCTGCTGCTGCTGCTGCTGCTGTGCCGACGAAGCCCCCTGGATGCCGGGCAGGCCATTCTGCGAGGAGTAGAGTGGCGGCTGCGGCTGCTGCAGCTCCTGCTGGCTCATGCTGCTCTGCAAGGCGGACATGGAAGTCGAGGTGATGAAGAGGGTGACGGGCTGCTCCTGCGAGCTGGGGGACCCCTGGACCAGCTGGATCTGGGGGGAGCCGTGGAACAAGGCCGGCGGCGGCTCGGCTTGGGTGGAGCCCGCGCCCTGGCTCTGGAACTGCATGGGCTGCTGGTCCGTGTTCATGGGGGCCAGGCTGCTCTGGGGATGGAAGAGAGACTGGCTCTGCTGCTGCTGCTGTGGCGGCTGCTGCGGCTGCTGCTCCTGGCCGGCCAGTGGGTTGGGGCTGGAGCTGAACATCATGTCCTGCTCCTGGGACGACATCGGGCCCATGGCGTTCTGGCTGCCAAACCGCATGTTCTGCTGCGGCTCTTGGCTGGGGGCGCCGCTCTGGAGCGCCACCATCGAGTGAGGAGGCTGGAACATAGGGCCCTGCTGGCCTGGGGGCACCCCAGACGGAGGGAGAGAGCCCAGAGGCACCTGGGACTGGAACAGGCTCTGCTGCGGGGGCTGCGGCTGCTCCGGGGCCAGCATCGGGCTCTGGAGGTGCGAGAGCGGGGGCTGCTGCTGGAACGAGGACTGCTGCTCGGCGCTGGCGGACGCCTGCAGCGAGGACATGGAGCTCGGGGTGGTGAAGAAGGGCATCTGGTCCTCCTGGGCAACGGAGCCACTCATTGAGTTCTGGGAGAGGAAGAGGCCTCCCGCCTGCTGGTCCTGAATGACCCCCATGGCACTCTGGGAGCGGAACATGGGGGGCTGCAGCTGTTCCGAGGAAGCGGCCGCGGTCTGGCTGTGGTAGAGCGTGCTGGGCGCCTCCTGGGATATGCTCTGGCCGTCTCCAAGCGGGCCCTGCGAGTGGAAGAGCTGGGCCTGCGAGTGCGGCGCCTGCTGCAAGAAGCTTCCGGACTGGAGGGACAGCATCTCCCTGCCCTGCTGAAAGAGGCCCCCGCCTTGCTGCTGGGCCCCGCCGCCCTGAACGGCGCCCATCATGTTCTCGGAGGAGGAGAAGAGGTTCACCGGGGCCTGACTTTCCCCGCTGTGCTGCATTTGGACCATGGCCTGATAGACGGTGCTCTGGATCTGCTCTGCCTGGCCCGATGCTTCCTCGCCTTCAGTGGAGCCCGAGGCCTGGAACATGCTGGGGGCGCTGGCGGGGACCTGCTGCTGATGCGGCGGCGGCGGCGGCTGGGGCGGCGTCCCGGCCTCGCTGCCGGAAACGCTCGTGGGGGAGAACAGCTCGCACTGCATTTGCAAGTCTTCGCCTGCGGACAGCCCCCCCATCATGTGGGAGGCCTGCTGGTACACGGGCGACGGCTGGACGCTCCCGTTGCCGGCCGCCGAGGAGGAGAACAGCTCCGACTGCATCTGGCTGGCCGCCTGGCAGAGCCCCTGCTGTATCTCCATCACCATCGCGGCCGAGGTCTCCATGGCTTGCTGCTGCTGCTGCTGCTGCTGCTGTTGCTGCTGCTGTTGCTGCTGTTGCTGCTGCTGTTGCTGCTGCTGCTGCTGCTGACTGGATAAAGCGTTTTCGGACTGCGGGTGGACACTTTCTGTTCGGCCGGCCAGGAGGTCTTCGGCCCTCGTGTGGACGGTGTCCGAGGAGGAAAACATCCCCTGGCCAACTCCGTTCTGGATCTGGCTGACCTGCTGGAAGATCTCTGCATTGAGCTGCTCTTGAACATCCTTGTTGTCGGAGCCAGAAAACAAAACCGAGGACAGCTGCTGCTGGGCTTCCAGGACCTGCTGGACCAGGTCCACGCTTCTGCCGCCGCCAGCGGGACTGGCCTGAAAGCTCCCTGCCTGCAGCTGCTGGATGCTCTGCAGCTGCCCCACCCCGCCGGCCGACGGGAACATGCTGGAGGACATCTGTTGCTGCAGGGCCTGGGCCGACTCCGGCAGCGAGGGCTGCTGCTGGGAGGCCTCCGTCAGCTGCGACAGAGCCATGACGCTGCCGTCCGGCTGCAGCACCTCTCTGGGCTGGGACTCCCTCGAGGAGAACGGGGAGGCCTGCTGCAGCAAGGCGTCGCTGCTCTGCAGCTGGCTGGAGGCAGACACGGCCGGGAAGCTGCCGGGCTGCGCGACATCCTGGGCCTGGAGGCTGGGCATCGCCTCCGGGGTGAACCCCTTTGGTGGCAGCTGCTGCTTCTCACTCTCTGGAGCTAAATGAGGAGCAGAAGAGGAGAAGGCGCCGTTCCCCAGCATGTTGGACATGCTGCTCTCCAGAGTCGCTTGCGGTGGCCCAACCACGCTGGTCGCCTGAGGAGAAACACACCCCGTAAGAGGCCGGGCTCCACTCCGCCCGCAGGGCAACTCTGCAGAGCTCCTACTGCCAAGCTGGAGACAGAAGGCGTGGTGCAAGCACACCTGTGCTGTGCCGCCTCTCCCAGACTGGCCCTTGTTGCCCCAAACACACTAGCCTATCGGGGACAAGGCCTTGCTAGCAAGAGGGGGCCTGTTCCAGCACAATTTACGCAACAGCCAGGAGACTTTGGATCAAGGATAAGTATTTTTTGCCATGCGGGGATTGCACCGAACGGGAACACTGGGACAAGCTGTGCTGAGCCACTAAAAGGTATCCAATCTTACACGCCAAGATGCAAGGCCAGACTTTTTACTATACAAAGGAAGTTGCAAGAGACGCCTGCGTTCTCCTTTGGGCCACATGGCTGCCTGTCCCTGTTGTGAAGGAACAAAACGGCACTTCTTCTTTTGTCAGTCAGCTAACAAATATGCACACGGAGTAAGTCCAGTGTGACTCCAACAAGGGCCATAAAGATACTTCAGATTAATACAGGCCCCCCTGAATACAACGCTGTCTCTCTTCCACAGTTCGGGGAGAAAGTCGAAGCGGTGCCGATGTGGACTTGGCGCTGGCCTAGAGGCACTCTCAGGCAGTTGCTGCCAGTGCCCCGTGATGGGCGAGTGAGAGGCCAGGTGCAAAAGCTGCCGGACGAGGCAGCCTGCGTGACGTTGGGCACGAAGAGGCGGCAGCCACGGGATGCGCCTGTGAGGTGGAGGGGCAGAGGCAGCAACCCGCCCCCACAGAAAGCAGGCCTCTCAAAGCATTTCCTTCCATCCATCTTCGCTCCCTCCCACCTTTATTCCTCGCGGGTCCCCTTCCCTACTGCCCTGCTGCTTGTTTCTTGGGAGGCTTCTGGATGCAAGGATAGGGTGGAAGTACTGCAAACAATACGTTTACTCCAGAATGCCGACATCGCCTGCCATCGCCACTTACGTTAAAGACCGGAGCAGGCCTCTTTTCAGCTGCAAGCTCCATTGCAGCAGCCTCTTCGTTCTTAACGATGCTGCTTGGCCTGAGTGGAGTTATCAAGGCACTGGGAAGAATATTTACCTTGTCCAGGTTGCAGCTGCTTGTGCTCACTGTAGCAGATGACAAATACTTAATTAATGTTCTCCTGAAAGAAGGCTACCAGAGGGTGTAACTCAAGTGCAGGGGCCGAGAGAGAAGCACCCGCTGTTGTGGGAACTTTAGAAATGGGAGGCTAAAGGAAAGTTATGGCAACACAGGGACCCTGCTCCGATACCGGAGGGAGCAGAGAGCCAGGAAGACTAACGGCCACGGAGGGCCTTCTCCACCATGATTTTGTCCCATCTCCTTTTAAAGTTGTCCAAGTTGGTGGCCGTCACTCCATCTCATGGAAGAGAATCCTACATTTAACTCTGTGTTGTGTGAGGAAGTCCTTCCTTTTATCTGTCCTGGATTAGCTTTGTGGGATCACTGTGGATTCTAGTAAAATGTCTTCCTATCCAGTCTCTCTACCCCATGCATAATTTTGTACGCATCTATCGTGTCTCTCCTCACCCACCTTTTCTCTGAGCTACGAGGCCCCAGATAGGGTAACGTGCAAATATGGAGCATTTGCTTAAGTCACTTTGCTTGCTCTTTTCTGCACTTTTTCCAACACTGTAATAGCTTTTTTTCAGGTTTTGGGACTAGAACTGCACATAGTATTTGCGGAACCATGGATCTGAGTAAGGGCGGGATGGCACCTGCAGTTTGATGCTCAGTGCCTTGCTTGCTTATGCCCAATGGAAAATCGCCTGTGTCACGGCAGCTGTGCACGGGAGTAGCGCTTTCAGCAAGGGGTCCGCCACAGCCCAAGCTCTTCCTTAGTCACTGCTGGCTCAGAGCCCGTCAGCTTATATACGAAGCTGGGACTTCTGCCTCCGTGTGCATTATTTCACATTTACTTCTGATGCCCATTTTTCAAGGCTACAGAGACCCCAGGGATCTCATTTCAAACCTTTCTTATTTTAATTAATGTTAATTTATTGTCCTCTGAAAATTTGGCCTCTCCAACACTCGCTCCTAATCCCCCGTTATTTATGGACAAGCGGAGAGGCGCTGGTCCCAGTGCTGGGCGCTGTGGGACTCCGCTGGGTGCAGCCCTCCTCCGACTCTACGCTCTGCCTCCTGCCCCTGAAGCCGTGGCAGATCCGTGGCAGGTCCTCCGCTCCTGCTCCACCACTGCTCAGGGGCATTCTCCGAGGGCCTCCTGGAGGTCAAAGGCCTCTTGGAAGTCCAGGTGAACAATACCTACTGGATCTGCTCTATCCACAAGCTTACTGACATTCCAAAAGAACTCCAAAAGACGAGTAATACATCACTTCCATTGCTGAAGCCATGTCCATCCTTTTTAGCTGGGATCCTACTATTCTTAGCACTTGGTTCCAAACCCTTTACCCAGAAAAGAGATTACCCTAAATAGCCTGTAATTTTCTGGAACCCTCCTGGATCTCTTTTTAAAAAGTAGTGTTACACTCATAGCATCCTAGAAGAGTGGAGTCGGAAGGGGCCATGAAGGCCGTCGGGCCCAAGCCCCAGCTGGTGCAGGACACCCACTGACCCCACTGCATCACAGGGCAGCGATACTGGCTGTTCTCCATTCCCCGGCACAAAAGCCGATCCTGGGAAAGGCTACACTGTTGTTAGACCATCAGCAGTTCTTCATCTGAACTCCTTAAGAACTCTGGAAAGGACACCCCTGTAAAGCGGAATGAAGCGATCTTAATTTTGGCTAGACATGTCGCTGCCTCTACTGCACCTTGGCTTGTGGCTTCTCTACCGCTGCCCTCCAGGAACAGAACAGAACCACTCTGTGGTTCGATTCATTAAAAAGAAGTGGCACTCAGCCGAGAGCAGCACTACCTTCCCAAATAAATTACTTTCCCTGCAAAAAGGATTCACTTCATCTACACAATACAATATTGTTTTAGGGAGTCCTTCTCTGGTGCAAGTTCAAACGCAAGTGATTTAAGACCACTGGTGGTTTGTTTCAGTCAAAATACCTTTGATTGCTTCATCAAAAGAGCAAGACTGTGTCGGGCTGGATATTTCCTGTTTCACATTTACATTCAGCGTACCAGCTGTTGATGCAAAAGACATCATCAACTTTAAAAGAGGGACAAAACAAAGCATTTCTACCCCAGATAAGGAATGTTTTTCCCTATTTTCTGGAAAAGAAACCCCTACGGCAAGCACTAACTGCAGGCCTCTAAGCCAGACTGCAAAAGGCTCCACCATCGTGTTGCAACACGGGCCGGCTTTCCTCAGCTGGGCCTCTACGAATGTGTTGGCCTGCAACTCTCACCACCGCAAGCCAGCAAGGCTGGGGCAGCCCAAGGCCATGGAGGGCCCCAAGCACCAGGCCCTGTGGTGTGGGGCAGCCCCACTCTTCCTTCCCACACCCCCTTCACTCTTGGGGGCCCAGTCCCTCTGGCACGATGAGAGCGTCCACTCTTGTGCTGCCACCCCCCAAGGTGCACGGGGGGGCTGCCCACTGCTGCCCGACTTCGTGCCTCGGCCTCCTCGAAAGGCTCAGCAGCAGAAGACAAGAAACGCTCTGCAGAGGTATTTTCCCAGGCCCTCACAATGGGCTCGCCGCTGCTTACATACATGCATCTGGAGTGTATGTAAATGGCTGCATGTCGTGCGATCTCCCAGCGTTGGTCACCACATAGATCCCAATGGAAACAGGTGTCGTTATTTGCTGGTCATGATATGGCGGCACCTTCACAATTAGATGATTCTGAACGCAAAAGAGAATTTTGCAGGCGTGTCAAGACTGCACCGATTTTATTCTCCCAATTGCTTGCAAGTAACATTAATAACAGGCAAAGATCACATTTGAGGTTCTGAGTCCTGCACTGAAAAAGCTACCAGGCGACCGGTGCTTACCTAGCACAAGGCTGAACTGCTCGGGCCCACGTACCAGAGGCAGAGCTACCCAGGAGACGACCCCGTCACTTGCGCGCCAGTTCCCGTTCCTGCCCTCCCCATTTCACCATCCCAAATGCTGCCCGGGGCTTTAGGGCAAGCAGTGGCTACAATTTTAAGCCACACACAGTCTTAGGTTGGATGGAGGGACACACTGACATCAGGGGAGTCAGACGCAATAGCTGCTGGCCCATCACACAGTTAGGTCTGAGAAAATCCGAAAAGGTTTCTCCAGCCAACATGTGTTGAAGATCAGCTTATGAGAAGTATACAAGGGCAAGGTGACAGAAACTGGAACCTGACCCTCACCCTCTGCCAAGGATTGGCAGAGATCCCTTCATTCCAGTTAACGTGTTATGGCAGCTGGGGCACGAACGGCCATTTCTCAGCTTCCACTCCTGCAAAGAGGGTCATTTCAGAAATAATAATGATGATGAGGAGGAGGAGGAGGAATAATTGCGTAGCAGAACAGAGCAAGTCCTGTATTCACTAATATAACCTTCGAGCTTAAAAGCCATGATGGTTACCATCACTCAAAAGACAACATAAAGGGTTTCCTAGGTTGCAGAAGATGGTAAATGGAGAACAATCTTACACAGTTCAAGATTTAGGGGTGGGGAGTGAGAGAAAAGCAGCAGCAAAGCACTGCAATGGAGAGGAAAGCAATTAATTTGCAACCAGTCTGCAAACAAAAAGATCACCCTTGTCAGTTCCTATCTTTGTCAATTCTATGACTAAGTATATTAATTCAGTATATTGACCATGTGATAGGAGACAAAAAATTCAGCAACTTGAAGACTGCTTTTGGAACAAACTTATCTATATAACTTGGGAGTAAAACATTTGCAATTCTGAACTTATAGATTTGCTTTGAGATCTTTCCTTCCAAACACATTATAAAAGGAAGGGTTCTTTTAGCAATTTTTCAATGAATACATTCAAGAAGGAACTGTTATCTCAACTATGAGCCAGAAAGGTTTGTCAGGATATTTTTAGCCCCTAAAAGAGTACCTGATGAAACAACTCCATGTCAATTTCCGCTTCTGCTTTCCAAGAGTTTTCATCTGTGCAAGAGCAAAAGAAGGGGGGAGTCACTGCACATGCTCAGCTAAGCTGATTTCCCCCCGCAAGCTCATCACAGAAGCCAACTAACTCACTGGTTGCCCACAAAGGCCAACCACTAGCCCAGCTCCATCTACACTCATCTCGCCTTGCTCAGCCTGGGTGTGCCAACTCTGGTACTCACCGGACACGTTCTCTTGGAAGATGACTTTTGTTCCCTTCAGAAAGTTCTTGCCAATCAGAAATACTTCCTCTTCTCCCTTCACTGAACAGCTATGCAGACTCTTCTTTAGGATCTCTGGTACACCTGCTGGCTGAGCTACAAGTTGAAAGAAGAGGCATCCTTTAAAGCCATGCTGATTGGCTGGACCTCCCCAAAGTCTGTGTGTGGGACTGGGACTCAGGTGATCTGGGCTCTAGTCCCTGCTCAGCCACGGAGCCAACTGGGTGACTTTGGGCCAGTCAGACTCTCACCCCAACCTACCATACAGGGATGCTGTGGTGAGGATAAGACTGAGAGGAGGAGAAAGAGAATTATGTAAGCCACTTTGAGTTCTGTGTAGGAAAAAGGGTGCAATATAAATCCAACAAATAAATAAGTGTCTAAATACAAAAGGATTCTACCAGTGTTGCACAGGAGGCAAAACGCTGGCAGTTTAGGCACGAGTGCCTGCAGTTTAATCCAGATGTTGTTTGCCTCTCAGTGGTGACAAACACTTGCCTGAGGGAAGCCCCTGCCTCGGGGCAGAAGCGGCCCTTCTCCTTGGCAGAGGCCCCACAGGTGTGCATGCAGGCCACTCCCCACTGCAGCACCACAGGCGTCCTTGGTGAGGGGCAAGTCGGACCTCTGCCCCAGAGCTTGTGCTCTTCACTGAGCCAGAACAAAATCAGCTGCTCTTCCTGAGCAGCCGGCAGACAAAGTCCCTGCCCAGGATCAGCTTCTCCATCCTTCATCGACTCCCAGCTGCCACCACGGCCGGGCTGGCAAAGACCACTGACCCACCAGCAGCGGCTACTGCAGGCTTCTGTGCAGGGGGCAACCCAAGAGGCACATGCCGGGGCTACTCAGAAGGATTCGGGGGACTGTGTGGCACGACTCCGACGGCACGTGCCGCTTCCTCTGTGTTAACGCAACCCCTCATCCCGGCATCTCTTCCCCACCCTCCCAGAGTAAGGACCAAGGTTAGCAAGACCACCCAGTTGGTAAACATTCCTGTTGCCCTTATCAGAAAAGATTCGCTCCTGAGCTGGTGTATTAATGTAATAGCAACGTTCGCTTTATCCAACCAAAAGCAGATAATTGGTTCTTTCAGTCCAATGCTTCTTTACATTTCTGGTTTATTCTGGCTGTTCAGTCTGATTTCTTTTTAAAGTACAGACTTCCATAATGGGATAAAACTTAGATGCACTGCGGCTCAACCAGCAAGCGGCGGCTGCAAATCAGCTGGGATCAGCCTCAGAGCTGGACTTTGCCACTTACTGCACAAAATGGGCGAGGACGGCGTCTGCAGGGTCAGCGTGGAGCCGTCCTTCCGAGGAATGTTCACACGGAATACTAGCCTAGCCCGGGTGCTTTTCTTCTTTGAGCCGGCAATTCCGATTCGAGCTTCGACATCTGCATTCCTCAGCTTCAGGATTCCAACGCAGTCCACCCTAGCAACACAAGACTGGCATCACCAACCTGACTCGCCTTCAAGTAGGTCACGGATGTTTTGCCGTCGTTATTTGTTTTTTGGCGCCTGACCAAGAGCTTTTTATTTAAATGTTATTTTAATTAATTGCTAACTTATAAGAATCCCAAATAAATAAGTGGGTAAGTAAGAGCATGAAAGCAGCCAGCTCGGGAGCATTTTACTTCAAGGTCCACCAGCAGCAGCTTCTGTCGCAGAGCCAGCACCAGCACCCCACAACGCCAAGCACTAGAACGGCGCCGGAGAGGAGTGCGCTAGAATCCCTGCTCAGGCAGATGGACATTGTGACCTTGGGCAATTCGTTTCAGCATCACTTTCCAAGGGCGAAAACCAGTCAAGGGACAGCAGGAAGCTCTTGGGACAGCAAGCATCCTTTGCGAAGCAGCAGCTGTTGGAACCAGCCACGCAGTGATGTGCAGCTGACAAAGACGAAGGCGGTGGGGCAGAAGGGCCCCCAGCTCTTTCCAGCCACAAGCCACCTTCAGAATGTTCTGAAACTTCCAGGCACAATTTTGGGGGGATGCCCACCACGACATACTAAGTGCCAGATATGTCTATCCTGCCTACTTGAATATACTCAGGGGCAGCTGACCACAGCATTTAAGCGGTGTAGAGGGCAACATGCCCACTGCCTGTCCTGTCAATGCCCGCCACCCCAAAAGGCTGCCTTCTGCGAAAGCAGGAGGTCGCAGCTGCCGTTCAGAGGCAACTGAGGTAGCCGCAGCTCAGTCCGGGCAACTGGTCAGATGAGCGATCTGGGCAACTCAGTTTTGCTGGCTGGCTAAATGCTCATTGCTAGAGCAATCAGTCAGTCGTTATTTGGAGATTCTTTTGCATCCAAACGCGGCCCATCAACAAAGCACACCTTCAATTGTCGAGCACATCTTTCCCATGCAAATGGCACTGACAACCTGTATGCAAACTTCCTGTATCCGCCTCCACCCACCTCCCACCCAGCGAGATGAGCAGGGCTCCGCAGGGAGCATCTCTCCATGTGGGGAAGAGGGAAGTGATGGCAGAGAGCTGTTTCAGGTGTTACAGAGTGTACTTCCTGTCCCTTGGGCACCTGCGAAAATCAAAGCCAACATGAAGGTAAAACCCAGGGCACCTTCTGTTACTTGCTCTAAGTCAATGGGGCACATATAAACATGAGTTCAAAGCAGAGGTTTATTTCATACCCTCAAGCTCTCTCCATGATTCAAAGCAGGAAATAGCCATTTCTTAAAAGTGACCTCCACAAAGGGCTACAGTTAAGGAGGGCTCTATTCCTCACAGACAAAGCTATGTTCCAGAGATTATGCAAAACTCAAAACCAGCATTTGGACCAATGGCTGAGGAAAGACTTGAACAAAAGGCTCTTCTCAGTTCAGTACAGTATCAGTCGCCAGCCCTGAGCAGCTTTCAGATGAAAAGGCTGATCCATTTGGGAGATCAGGTCAAGAGCCAGATTAACCATCACAGCGGAGGTGAGTCATAAGCCACCTGCAGCTTCCAAGCACACGCATGTTGTGTGTTGCATGGCGGCTGCTGTTACAAGAGCTCTGTGCTGGCTGAAAGACTGCATTGTTCAGCACCTCAAAGGGGTTTGCATCTCAGGGCCAGCACTGAGGGAGTTCACCGCGTACAATACTTGGCAAGTTTCAGACAGCGACCTAGTTAAAGGGCCATTTGGCAAGAGCGCTGCTGATATCAGTGGTGTGAAGCCCAGACATAAACAAATCCAGAGCCAGTTCGCTTACAGGGTGTCAGGTTAACTGGAAATGCGTATGTTTGCCCCGTATGTGTGATAGCTGCCAGCTACGGCCCTGACAGCTATCATACCCAAGGGCACGTCCCCCAAGACACCGGGGCAGGCAGGCAGGCGGGACTGGAAAACGCGTTTTCTTGCGTGCAACAGGCCAGCCTAAGCAAGGCAGAGCAGCGCTGCGAAGGCAGCCCTGTAATCCTCCTTATCGCACAGTCTGGTTCGAGCACGAGCAGCAGCGCCACTTGGATGCGGCGCTACGCGACGGTTCGGCGAGACGCGAGCCTCCTCTGCTGGGCTCCTGCACTCGCCCTGCTTTGCGCTTGACTGCGGCTTCTCATATTGTCCGGAGAAACAGACTACCGTTGGCATTCAATGCGGTTACTTCCAAACAAGCAAATCGCAGGGTGTGATTCCTAAAGTGCCTTGCCTGGGCGCGCTGTGCCGAAGGTTAACCACAGCAACGTGTCCAGGCGCGACAGGCTGCGGTTAACCCAAGGGCCGAAGCTTCCGGGCTCCCCCTCACACCACACACAGCGCCAGGAGGGGCAGCGCCTCGGCCTGGGAGGCAGGCAGGGTCCACCACATGTCGCTGGGGCCACCGCTCAGGGCGACCTCTGACCGCCGCCAGGCAGTGTTGGGCCTCCTGCTGCCGAGCACTCGCAGAGCAGCTGCCAAGACCCCTTTGCGCCTGCAAGTTGGGCCTGCTGCATCCGGTGCAAGCGGCAAGGGCTGAGACACACACCGACATGGTGCAAGTCGAGCATTCCATGACACAGAAAGGAACGAGAAGCTCCCGCCCGTCACAGTGCGTGCGGCCAAAGCCCCACAGAGCACCTGACTGGGGCCAGGATGCACAAATAACACAAATCTATTTGATCGTCTCCGGATTTGCTCTTCCTCTGTGCGTTTCAAAACGCCTGATCTGAGTTCAAAATGCCCGATCAGCCACGTTTTCTCTCAGTATCTGCAACAGTGTACTAAGTAACAGTGACTTACGCCAGAGTCATGTTGTTGCTTGGATCCAGGCCCACCTCAATTACTGTGGTGCCTTCGATGTCCACCTCTTTGCAGGGTGTGGTGTTCCGTCCTGTCACTCGGCAGGCCTGATAGAATCCATGCGGTTTCACCCGGCCAGAATCGTTCCCCACAAACACCTGCAGTGCCACAGGCTCATTATGACCTTCCAGCTGGAACCAAACACAGACATGCAAGAGTTCAGGCATTACCACAGACAGTGCAACATATGTGCAAACAGCAGGAATACAAAGCTATTTTTGAGCTCTTGGATTTTAAAACCTGATGCACAGAACATTTTCTCTTTCCAGAAAAACAGTGGAACCTTCTGCTGATAGACAGGAATCGTCATCCTCATTACACACTGGCAAATCTATGCTTTATGCTCAAATGGGAATCTCCTCGTGAGCTCTTTGTGCTTTAATTATGAATCCAAGACATGGGGGCATTTTCAAAAGCCTACTTTGGAAATGAATGAACTTCTTGGACAGGTGAGCATTGTAGAGAAATGCTATCACGTAAGTCCTAAGCTATTCCAGCTGTTAAGACAATCTTGAGCAACTGGGCACGCACCTGAGTTCCACTTCCTGAGTTGGAAAGGTGAAGTACAAATATATTTTTTAAAAATCAATACAATCTCTCCTAGACTATTACTCTCCTAGAAAATACTTTACAATCCCCCAGGAAAAAGGGGTCACGCAGCCAAAGAACTGAGAGGGTTGTTTTTCAGCCGTGTCCCCCGCCCAAACAACGCACACCACTCTCTGGCCCTGTTGCGTGAACACCCACAAACGTTCAAGGGCACCAAGGGCCCATCACACAGGGCAGGGTGGGCGCTCTGGGGCCTCCCCTCCAG